ACTCTTATAACCACCACTCAAGTTAAAAAATAGAAATTTGCTACCCATGGATATATTTTTATTTAGTCTGCTTGGGACTCTCGCAACATTCAGGATAATTTTCTCAAATATGTCTTATACTTCACAGATTCTCTTTAGTTGTGTCTAATCTGTTTAGTCTGCCTATTTTTATTGTATTTTTTCATTTATACAGTTCTATTGTATTCTTTTTCATATCTTTCTAGTCTTTTCTATGCTGCTATATTGTTTTATGGATATTTTCCTTTCTTTGTGTCTTTCATCTTTTACAACATACTAGGCCTTTTCCAGATTGCTCTTCTAGTATTTCAAGTAATTCTGTTTTGTTTGCACAGTATAGTTCACTAATTTGTAATTTTGAGACTCCAGTGCTTTATCTGTGTGAATCCTGAGGCAGCTAAGTAGTGGGAATTCCTCTGGTTCTGTCATATGTTCCAGAGTGTCACCATGTTGGACCAGATTTTCTCACTTTCCCATACTATGGAGGAAAGAGTAAATTTAGGTACCAAATCTACAAGAGCCACAAGCCTAGGGATTTGATTCCACAAGAGGAACATTTATTTGTTTGTTTTTAAATCTAGGGCTCAGACAGAAATAAACCTGTGCTACTGGGTAAATTTATTTTTTTTAGACTTTGCTTTCATTGAGGGTTCAGCTTCCTTAGATTCCAAGGTTTACACAAGAGTAGTAATTCCAGTCCACCTCTTTAGAGCCGAGGGCCTCATCTTTTGTCCTTATGAAAGTATTGAAATTCAAGCTTCTGGATTGCTAGGATCTGAAACAACTTCCCTTCCTTTCCTTTGTGCTGCCGCGGCCCAGGTCCTATGGGTACCTCTGGTTTTCAGCATCCTCTTTGTGGCTTGCACCTAGGGATTCCCCTTTCTGTCTTGGGAGCATAGACTTGGATGATTAGCAATGCAGTATTTCTTCTTAAAAACCCAACATTTGGATATTTGTTGTGAGATTTGTCAAAATTGAGATGGGAAAAAATACAGAATGGGGGAATAAAAATTTCTTTGGTAATTTTACATTTAACTCACAAATTTATCTATATATCATAAGCAGATAAGATCAAGATAAAACATTGGCAAATAAAAGCTAGGCATGATTTAATCTCGTGTTTATTGAGAAATGCCTGAGGGTTTGGCCGTTGAGTTCCTATTTGGATTCTTCCTTAGAAGGAAACCAGTTTTTTGTCCAGTGTTACCTGATCTTTCCCTCTAAGGCACAGTGAAGCCTCCTTGATCAGCTGATACTTAAACACAAGAATACTCCGTATTATGTGCCAGGATGGTGCACACACTGCTTTTACTATTTTCACATTCAATTAAATTCTCCTTCACAATCTTTTAACACTGTAGTGTTTAATAAGTAATGTTGCTTATAAAATCGTATGGACTTAACTGCAAAATTGGCTGATTGCCTGTCTCCTTGAGAAAAATATTAATTTTTAATAAATAAACAATAATCATATTAGAGTTTAGCTATGCTAGCCTAGCCTTTTTATATCATAGTTCATAACATATGACCTTGAAATCTTTTTTGTCCCCACCAGAGACCTTCCCCTATCATACTTCATCAGTTTGTCTTCTGCGTACAATTATTTGAAAGGCATTCTGCATACATTTTAGATCAGTGGTCCCCAACCCCCAGGCCCGTGACGGGTATCTGTCCGCTGCCTGTTAGGAATTGGGCCACACGGCAGGAGGTGAGTGGCGAGTGAGCAAAACTTCATCTGCCGCTCCCCATCGCTCCCCATTGCTTGCATTGCTGCCTGAACCATCCCACCATTCCCCCCCTTTCCCTGGTCCATGGAAAAATTGTCTTCCACGAAGTCGGTCCCTGGTGCCGAAAAGGTTGGGGACTGCTGCTCTAGATAACATGAATCTTCCTAGGCAGATAAACACAAATTCAAAAGTTAAAATTGGGCTATTTTTTACAATAGAAGATATAAACTCTTAGGAAATTGAGACTGACATACTAAAAGTTAGAATTCGGAGGGAGTAACACTTCCATTTGGGGCAGAGGAAGAGGAAGCAGATACAGAATTGCAAGAGGCTAAAATGGCAGTGTTTTAAAATAACAGAGAGACTTAAGAAATACTTTGTCTTTGTTTACTATTATTCCTCAGGGATTGGAACTTCCCAACACTTAAGCTTAATTTTGCTGACTCTTGGAATTTTTATAAATTAAATAATTATCTCTTAATTATTTATTATTGTAGACACTACCTACGTCCCTCCCTCCTCCCCCCAAAAAAACAGAGAAGCTAAAGTGAATTTTAAAAAAGCTCAGAAATCACACGGAGAAGGTAGAAGAAATATCTTTGAGGACTTAATGTGGTTCTGAGCTTCCTGTATGTCGAGACAATGGAGAACTGAACTACATCGTTGCATAATTCTCATTGTCAGATAAAGAAAAAAAAGAGACATGGAAAGTGGTGGTGACTATCAGATATTTCCCACAGTAATCAATAAGATCCATATGTTTCTTACTGGTTTTACACTAAACTTATGAATGTCTAGTATTTTGAAGAAGAGAGTGCGGATTTTCATGACTTTCAAGTTGTAAAATTTAATCATTGTCGCATACTTAAAAGAAAATATGCATTATTCCAAAGTGGCTTGTAACACAGATATGCCTATAAAAAGAAATGAAAATTTATATGTACTAAAAAGTCTAGTTTTCTAAATAAATAAAAATCTAGAGAAGCAATAAATCAGAACTTGTGATCTTTTTACTCATAAACCATTTTGGAGAATTATTTTTATTTTCTTTCAATATATCTAAACTTGATTTAGGATATGTTTTAAAGATATCTTTTAAGATGAGGTCAAATGACACAGACATAGAAAAGAAACTTATGGTTACCAAAGGGGAAAGGGGGAGGAGGGATAAATTTGGAAGTTGGGGTTAACAGATACATACTACTGTACGTAAAATAGATAAATTACAAGGACCTACTATATAGTACAGGGATCTGTATTCAATATCTTGTAATAAACATTATAACGGAAAAGAACCTAAAAAAGAATATACATATGTATATATGTATAACCAGATCACTTTGCTGTATACCTGAAACATTGTGAATCAACTATACTTCAATAAATTAATTAATTTTAACTAAAACAGTTGACTGGAATTCACAAAGAAAGATGAGATCAAATGATAAATACTATGACTTAGCAATTTTTCTGTGTTTCTTTATGTCAGCTATATAATGATTTTTGCTTAATATCCTATAAAGGGCTATTGCATAATAAATAGTGTAGTAACTAAAAACACTACATACTTAGTTTTATGAAGCTTGGGAATTTTTTTTTATTGGAGTATAATTGCTTTACAATTTGTGTTAGTTTCTGCTGTAGAACAAACTGAATCAGCTATATGTATACATACATCCCCTCCCATTCCCCCCATCCTACTAAAAAGTAATTTTGGAGTATTTCTTTTTTAATAATTCAGTGAAGAAATGAATGCTTCCTAAGCATTCACATATTTTTTTCAATCTAAACATGTCTAACAAAATGTTTAAAATTATTCATTGTTATATGCAAATTTATATGAAATCAATTTTATTTAGCCTTAATCGTTCCAGTAGTTTGATACAAAATTAGCATTTGGTACTGAAGTGATGAAGCAGAGAGATAATGACATTTGATATATGGTTTATCATAGCTGTTCAATGAGATTATTCTGCCAGATAACAAGAAAGAAAATTTTCTGCAGATCTAAGCATAACTGGGTTATTTCTTTTACTTTCTAGGGGAACAGTAATCTTTCAATATATATATAGTACATAAAAAGAAAGAAGTGAGTCATAAACCATATTAATTTTATTTTTCTTTATATAAAATTATATATTTATATAAAATTATTGAGCTGTGTATATCATAAATAAGTAGTTTTAATACATTTGTTATCACAGGGTTTAAATAAATTCATTACATTCATTATCTGTGGGCTGAACTTTCAGCCAATAAAACTAGGGACTTCTACCACTTCTATAACATTGCTAGGGTAGTGTCCTTTATGTTTAAAGCTGGTAAATAAGAAGAATGCTTATTTTTCTTGAAACCTTGCTGGTAGAAGAAGAATCAAGTGTAAATTGAAAAGCTTCCTCTAAAATAGTTTTGTAAAATATTTTAATGGCCCCAAAGTGCCTTTAAAATTTTAGATATAGCCATATGAATGTACATTGTTAAAGAAGAATTTTTTTCCCCTGTTTAATATATCTGCATAACAATTCATATATTTTTTTCTCCTTATTACATTGAGATATGACACAGTTGGTCATTTTTTTAATTATGTAATTTTTTAAGATTAATTTTAAGGTTGATATATTAAATTAGCCCTTTTTAATGTTCTACAAAAGAGAAACAACTGTCTTTAAGAGGCAGTATTTTTTTTAAAAGACAGTTCTTCTCATCATCACTTAAACCCACCATCGGCAGTGCCAAACTTAAACATGATGGTAAGATTGGAAAAATTCTTTTCATCCGTTTTCATCTTTGGGTTCCCTGTTTCCCTTCTTAGCATTTGATCTTCCTTTCTCCTTCAGGTTTCCCAATGTTTTCCCAATCTTGCCGATCTGGAAATAAAGTCATTCATACTACTAGGAGTATTGGCACTTACAAGAACAGTTAAAGAAATCAGTGATTGAAATATATACACACACAGAAAAAAAGAAGAGCGAATGAGTGGATTCATTAATGGATGGATGGATGGTTGGACGGACGGACGGATGGATGATAGTAGAGTTTCAGGGCTTAAAAAGTTCACCCGTTTACCTCATACTGTATAGGTGTGTATATATAGGTCTGCCTGGTGAGAAGAAGGCCTGTCAAGTAGCTTCTACCACTACTTTGCTACTGTGGTGTATCTCAACACTGCCGTGTAGTATTAACTCTCTCTTCTTGTCACTTGTCATACGAGCTTAAAATCAAATCCCTTTTCCTTTGTTTGATTGTTTGTTTAAGGCTGAAAGAGCATATTCCTTTTGTGGAACTATTGAATACATGGCACCAGATATTGTCAGAGGGGGAGATTCAGGACATGACAAGGTATGTTCTATTTTTGACACTTCCTGATATATCTCTATAAAATGTATATTAAGAATCCTAGTTTAGCACTTGTGTTTGTTTTTGTTTAATTTGTGGACAAAGACTTCTAGACAGGTGCTCAAATAAATCCTCTTTTGCAACCCAGAGCTCATTGTTCAGTATGAGTTTTGATACAGATAAGAAGGAACATGATACCTAAGAGAGTCAAGTGATGGGGGTGTATTGATAAACATAAAGATTGCTTCCAGGACTATAGAACTGATAATTTCCCTCATATATTAAGCTTTTAAATTATCAGCTGTATTGATTTAGTACTCTAATTTTAACGTTGACATGAAACAAAGATGGCTTCTTTTTTTAGGCTTTTATCTTGAACAGAGTGTCTGGATAATTTTAAAAGGTATTGGCATATCCCAATGATCTGTACTGTTCTAGGGTGTGATGGCTTAGGAGTGAATATGATTTGAACCTAATACATTTTTAGAGGGTGTCAAATTCAGAGCCAGGCAGATCCATCTCCTGACCCTAAACATGGTCCTAAAGTAAATCGCTTGAGGAAATTGGATCCCAAAGATTACAGGTGGGGAATTTTGAAGTGTGTCCATATTTCATTGGAGATCAAAGAAGCCTAACTAAAAGAATTGTGGGCTGACTCACATGATAACTTCTTTTTGAAAGGGCTGTTTTATCTTGAAGATTATGAGTTTGGAGGAACTAAGGTGATTGGCAGTGGAAAGGATCAGAACATGTGAAATTCCTTAAAAATTTATTGACTTAAATAACTTTGTGTTACACATAATAAAAAAAAACCCTTTACAAAAAAAAAAAGAAAAACAGAATCTTAGTTAATAACTTAGGCCCTCTTTTTGGTGTTATCTTCATTTTTTTTTACCTTTCCTTTGCTTTGTATACACGAACATATTATGATATCTAGTGTTTTGGAGGAAAAAAGATAATGGAAAGGTTAGGACATTCTAGATTTCCCTTTTTTCAGGTTTTGTTGATGAGGATAATATTTTGTTTTATAGAATAATACTCTTGTTAAAGGAAATCTCAAAATAGACTAATTCTTCAAATAATAATTTTTATTTTATTTCCGTTAAAAGTATCACGTCTTGGGCTTCCCTGGTGGCGCAATGGTTGAGAGTCCGCCTGCCGATGCAGGGGACACGGGTTCGTGCCCCTGGTCTGGGAAGATCCCACATGCCGCGGAGCGGCTAGGCCCGTGAGCCATGGCCGCTGAGCCTGCGCGTCCGGAGCCTGTGCTCCGCAACGGGAGAGGCCACAACAGTGAGAGTCCCGCGTACCGCGCAAAAAAAAAAAAAAAAAAGTATCATGTCTTGAGCAAAGCATCCATTGTAACCCTGTTTAAAACAGAAATCACCCTTTGTCTGTTGTATGTGACCTGGCCTTTTAGGACACACCTGGGCCACAGTACAATGCAGAGGTGTCATGAATGCAAAAACAGTGCACATTGTCCCCATTGGAGTCATGCTGAATGACTATGGACAGTGCTTATTGGCATTATTGATTTTTGCTAGAGAAACATATGGAAACTATTTCACCTTCAGTCGATAATTTGCTTTGTAAGAGATCCTTAAAAAGGGAGTCTCTCATATTTTCTTATTCTTAATTTCTGCTTTTAACTTAGTAGTGATATTGGAAACTTTGTTGATTACCTCTTCAACAGAAAAAAACCATTGTGACAATCCTTGGAGAAAGAAAACAATTCTGCATTCAAGATAGTCTAAGTTTGTTTTCCTAAGCCTTCTAAAAAACTCAGTTTTTTCCCTCCTCACTTCCCTTTGTATGTGCAAAATGAAGATTGTAGATGAGGCTTTCTAAGTAGTTATAAAATCGAGGTCACATATTTTTTCTTCTTGTATTAAAGGGTACAGATTTGTCCAGTTCTTTCTTAACACTTTTGCTTTATTAATAACGTTCTCCAAATAAGGAATTCTGACTATTTTTTTGCTCCTCATCTCCCCATCTTCCTCATCCCCTTTCAAAATCTCACATATACAGTAGGAATATCTTTTTTTTTGGCTGCGTCGGGTCTTAGTTGTGGCATGCGGGATATTCGTTGAGGCATGTGGGATCATTTGTTGCGGCGCGGGCTCTTCATTGTGGCGCACGGGCTTCTCTCTAGTTGTAGCGTGTGGGGTTTATTTTTCTCTCTCTAGTTGTGGTGCAGGCTCCAGAGTGCATGGGCTCTGTAGTTTGCAGCACGCGAGCTCAGTAGTTGTGGCACATGGGCTTAGTTGCCCTGTGGCATGTGGGATCTTAGTTCCCTGACCAGGGATTGAATCCACGTCCCCCTGCATTGGAAGGCGGATTCTTCACCACTGGACCACCAGGGAAGTCCCCAGTAGGAATATCTTAGCAGTGGAGAATCGGTGGTCTCCTTGCTAATGACTAATCATGCATTTACGAGCCCTTAGGAGTTCTTCAAGTTTGTGTGGTATTGGTTTCAGTCCATGACTAGGAATCTGATTATAGATCTGTATTAATTTACAAGCATGGTTCAAATCCAACGTTCTAAGGGTCCTGACTGAGCTGGCAGTAAAGCTGCTTGTATAAATAAAAGAATTGAATTACTGATTTAGTTTCTATGTTATTGTTATGTATTTTCTTTAAAATAACTCTAGGCTCACAAACTTTACATCATCTCTCTGAAATCTTGGCTCTGAAATTTGGAAGCAGAGAGTCTAAAATTTTAGCACCAGTTAATTTCTCATTGCTGTAAGCTCATATATCCAACAATTATTCAAATCTTGATTTGCCTAATTGTAAAGGAACTAATTTTCAATATATCAAGATTCTTTAAATTCTGTATAATTTGCTACGCTCTCAGTTCAGGTAACTGCTTTTATAAATTGTTTTCCAACGTAGATCACATTTTATTTTATATTATTTTCAGTCTTTCCATACCTCCCAGAAAGTGAAGACTGCTAGATTTATGTGATTGGTTCCATAAGAGGAATTGATATAGGTGGTTATGAAAAAATAACATCTTTTGATGGGATTTTTTTCATTTTCGTTCTTTGACTTTAAGAAATTTCATATTTATTGGAGCTGAATAGTTAATAAAAATGCTGATTGGTACGTTTTTCCCCCTATCCTAAGTCCAAAGATTTTACTTACTTAAAATTTTTTAAATTTATTTAAAATTTAAAAATTTTTTTGGGGGTAGGGAGGGATGGGTTGGGAGTTTGGGGTTAGCAGATGCAAATTGCTATATATAGAATGGATAAACAACAAGGTCCTACTGTATAGCACAGGGAACTATATTTAATATCCTGTGATAAACCAAATGGAAAAGAATATTAAAAATTTTATATATATATATATCTGAATCACTTTGCTGTATAGCAGAAATTAACATAACATTGTAAGTCAACCATACTTTAATTAAAAAAAATTTTTTTTTAATTAGCCTAAGTAAAACCATTACTAGTTTAGGAAATAATTGAAACACTTTTAGCAATAGAAACACTTGATTGACTTCTCTATGTTTAAATTCTGAGGATACCTGAATATTTGTCCTCTCAATGTCTTTTTTGCATGTGCTAATTTAATACTCCTTACACAGGAAGCTGTGCACAAAATCTTTTTGTCAAAATATTGTCAAATATATAGATTTATTTTGTTCATTTTTCTTTTTATATAAAATACAATTAATATTCTAGAAAATGAAATTACTGTTGTTTTATAGGCAGTTGACTGGTGGAGTTTAGGTGTTCTAATGTATGAATTACTAACTGGAGCATCTCCTTTCACTGTTGATGGAGAGAAGAATTCCCAAGCTGAGATATCTAGGTAAGACCTAACAAAATAAAATAAGTGTATTGTTTTCTCAAAGGAACTGATCAAACTTCTGCAATTGCGCTGATAGAAAAAATACTTTTTTTAATGGGGTAGACAAAAACGATGTGTAAGTGGTAAATTTCCAATTATATTCCTGTAGGATATAGATATATAACCTTTATATTTCTTTATATTTTATATGCCCAGTTAGATCTTAATTTTCGTAGATAGTGTCGTAATTTTTGTGTGCTCCAAAGTACTTAGCATATCGTCTTAACCTAATGTTTATTTGATGGATACTTTTTTCCCACTGTATACATAATGGAATTTCTTTGTGACTTTAACATAAAGAAACAGTAGTGATATTTTTCAAATCATGGATATAGGCTCAATAGAAACAAATACCATAAAATCACCCTCTTGTAGGTTATCATAGCACTGTTTTGTTCCTTTCCTTCATGGCAGTTATCACAATTGCAGTGTTACATTTTTGTTTGTAATTATTTGATTAATGTCTGTCTGTCCCACTAGATTGTAAGCTCTGTGAGAGCCAGGGGCCTGTCTGGCTTTGATCCTCAGCATGGTATGCTTAGATGCCAGCACAGTGCTTACCATGCAGAATTCAATGAATGTTCTTGGAATGAAATGAGTTACTGAACAAATAAACAAAGTGTGATAAAACATTGTACTAATTACTAGTTATGTTTTTGTCCTGTTTTTACTTGAATTTTATAACTTTGAGAACAGATTTGACATTAAAAATTAAAAATTGAGACTTCCACTTCTTACCAAGATGGAATAACAGGGACCGGATTTACTTTCCTGCCTGAAACAATTTTTTAAGTGGGCAAAATATATGAAACCACAGTATGGAAGACATTGAACATCTAGCAATGAAGCACAGTGAACCCTGAGAGACGGGAAATAAATGAGGTGAGCCCTATGATTGCCCAGCTTACTGCCTTGAGAGAGTATCCAGGCTGCAGTACAGGGAGGGGAAACACAAGTGGAGCTGAGATGGAAATGACAGTCCAGGAAAGCCGGGGAAGCTGGAGTTTGCATGGCAGAGTGTTGGAGAGGAGAAAGCTGCAGAGAGAGAGCAAAGTTCAGAGCTTTGCCGAAGGTACCCCTCAAATACTATTCAGTTAAGTAGTGATAAGCGCCATGTGTGACGGAACTACTCAGTATAGCTAAGATGTTATTTCTCTCCAAATTGATCTATAGATTCAGCACAATTAGAATCCCAGCAGGCTTTTTTTTTTTTTAAGTAGAAATTGACACCCTGGGTCTAAATGCATAGGACCTGGGTCTAAATGCATAGAATAGCCAAATCACCTTTGAAAAAGTAGACCAAAGTTGATTTGAAGACTTACAAGCTGCAACAATTAAGACACTGTTGTGTTTGTATCAAAATGTACAAATCATCAGTGAAATAGAATAGAGAGTGCAGAAATAGAACCACACAGATATAGGTAGCTGATTTTTTTTTTTTTTTTTACAAAGGTGCAGAGTCAGTTTGGTGGAGGAAAGATAGTTTTTCAACAAATGATTCTGGAACCATTGGCTATCATATGGAAAAAAATGAACTTCAATAAATACTTCACTCTACAGAAAAATTTTAAATGGATCATAGACCTAAAATGTAAAACTTAAAATTATAAAATTTCTGGAAGAAAACATGAAGGAAAATCTTTGTGACCTTGCGTTAGGCAAAAATTTCTTAGATAAGACACAAAAAGTGCAATCTGTAAAAGCAAACTGATAAATTGAACTTCATCCAAATTAAATACTTCTGCTCTTCAAAAGAAACTCTTAAGAGAATGGAAAGACAAGGCACAGACTGGGGTAAAATTACAAATTATGTCTGATAAAGGACTGGTATCCAGAATATATAAAGAACACTCAAAACTCAAGGAAAAAAAAAAAACTCTCCATTTTTTAAAAGGGGCAAAACATTTGAACAGACAGTTCACCAAAGAAGGTCTGTGGGTGGCAAATGAGCACATAAAAAGATGATCAACAACATCATTAGTCTTTAGGGAAATGCAAACCAAACAACAATGAGATAGCACTATATACTCCCTGGAATGGCTAAAAATAAAGTGACTGACTATATTAGGGTTCTCCAGGGAAACAGAACCAATAGGATATATACACACATATATATAAAAGGAGATCTATTATAAGGAATCAGCTTACACAACTATGACAGCTAAGAAGTCCCACAATCTGCCATCTGCAAGCTGGAGACCCAGGGAAGCCGTGGTGCAATTCCAGTCCAAGTCCGAAGGCCTCCGAACCAGAGGTGCCCCTGGTGCAAATCCCAGTCCAAGGGGAGAGGGCCAGTGTCCCAGGTTGAGCAGGCAGGCAGTAAGGGACTGAACCCTCCCTTCCTCTGCTTCTCTTTCTATTCAGGTCCCCAAGGGATTGGCAGGTGCCCACCCACATTGGGGAGGGGATTCAAATGCTAATCTCATCCAGAAACACCCTCACAGACACACCCAGAAATAATGGTTAATCTCAGCCTGTGTCCCAGTCACGTGACACTTGAAGTTAACCATTACAAGTCCAGCCCCTGTCACCTTGGCAGCCATTTGCATCTCCTTAAACTGTACTTGATCTCCAAATAAAGACAATAATGTGGTCATTCCACCCAACATGTTACAGCTATCCCAACAACCCACTAACCCCTTCCCCAGAAGAGGGCGTAAAGTCCTTGAGTGGTGTAGTGATATCCACTCTTCTCCTTGAAATCCCATAACTTAAAGACTATGGTATAAGTTTAAAATACTTAAGTACCATGGTTGATATAAAGTCAACACATCTTATCTAATATGATGAAAGAATAAGGGAGGAAAGGAAACAAATATATAATTTATACACACACTTATTCATAGCGAAGTAAGAAGGAAATACACATGGCAGTCACAGTCCTCGTTTCTATAACTGGTTACGGGGTCATAGCTGGTCTTTGTAACTGCCTTCTTCCACTACCCACTTTGTATTCCCTTTGCCTTCAACAAGTACCTCAGCTCGTGGGGTGATCCAAGCCTTCATTCCCAAAGAATGTGGGCCATTAATAGTCCTGACTAGATTGCGTTGTAGTTTTCAACTGACCTTCGTCACAGGTTCTAGCATGCCCATAGACCCTCTAGGGCATCTCCTGTACTCCAGACAGTCTTCCTTACTTCCATTGTGGAATAGTAGTCCAACTTCCCTTGATAGTAAGGATCATTCATCCCAGCCAGTGTCGCAACTCCTTTTGCCTGTTGATTCAGAGGCCTGAGAAACCCAAAGTGGCTGGGTGGCAATCTTAATTTCCAGTTCAATGGAATCACTGTTTCGTGTCTTGGAGGAAGCATCATTCCCCCTGGAACTAAGACCTTTAGGCTAGCAGAGCATAAAGTCATGCAAACAGAAAGCAAAAATTTTGCTAGTGGGTCACTTCGGGCAGTAGTAAGTGGTGCCACTCCCATGTCTACCCCTTGATTCCTGGACCCGTGAATCCTGGCTATGGGAGAAACAGCACCGTATATTGGATGTTGATTCAGAGCGTTTCAGCCTTCTGGAGAAACTTGCCGTCCTAGCTTGCACTGTAACTGAGTCTTCGAAAGATCATTCCACCATGATATCAAGCCAGCTTCAGAATGGTGGGGAGCATGGTAAGACCAGTGAATTCCATGAGCATGGTCCATTGCTGCACTTCTGCTGTGAAGTGAGTTCCTTCATCAGAAACAGTGGTGCTGTGTGGAATACCATGACAGTGCTTAAGGAATTTTGGCAGGTTTGGCAGAAATATTGCATGTAGGAAAAGCGATCCATATCCATAGTAAGTGTCTTTTCCAATTAGAGTGAAACTCTGTCCCTTCTGTAATGTAAACAATCCATTGTTATCAACCTGCCACCATAGCTGGCTGATCACCCTGGGAATTGGTGCCATATTGGGCACTCAGTATTGGTCTCCACTGCTGGCAGATTGGGCACTCGGTGGTGGCTGAAGCCAGGTCAGCCTTGGTGAGTAGAAGTCCATGTTGCTGAGTCCATGCGTAAGCTCCATCCCTGCCTCCGTGGCCACCTTGCTCATGAGCCCACTGGGTGATGACGGGTGAATGGAGAGAGGCGGATTGGTATCCACAAAACAGATCAGCCTATCCATTTGACTACTAAAATCCTCCTCTGTTCAGGTCACCCTTTGGTGAGCATTCACACAGGACACAAATGTCTTCACATGTTTGCCCATTCAGAGAGGTCTGTCCACATACCTCGTCCCCAAATATCTTTGTCAACCAGATTTCCTTGTCAGCAGCTTTCCCATCATGTTCCTTCCAAACCCCTGACCATCCAGCCAAACCATTGGCCACAGCCCATTAATTAGTATAAAATTGCGTGGTCCAAGCAAAATGAACAACTAGGTGCACTGCTCAAAGTTCCGCCCACCGGAAAGATTTGCTTGCACCTTTGCATATCATGCAAAACTGTCTGTAAACCAAGCCTGAGCCTCCTCTTCCTCTATCAGCTAAGGTAGGGGACTCCCCATGAGGCCGTAGATGCCGGCTGGGAGACAGAAGGCGGTGTGGCAGGAGCGGGGACATGGGCACTTAGGCCACTTCTTCACGTACATATTTGTGCCTTCAGCGCCTGCTCAGCCCAGTCTTGTGTACGTCACTTCCATTTGATGATGGAGCATTGCTGTGCACGCCCAACTCTACGGCTTGATGGATCAGATAAATGGGCATCTCAGGTTGCGTGTAACTTGGGGGCCCATTGTTAAATGTTCAGTCTTTGCTAAGGCCAAGTAGCAGACGAAGAGCTGTTTCTCAAAAGGGGGGGTCGTTATCCTCAGAAGATGGCAGGGTTTTGCTCCAAAATCCTAAGGGCCTGTGCTTCAGTTCACGTCTAGGAGCTGCCAGAGTCTCCAAACAGCATCCCTGTCTCCCACTTCCAGCACCTCTGATCTGCTGGATCAGATGAACCAAGTGGCAGAGCAGCTTGCACAGCAGCCTGGACCTGGT